TGGGGACCCCGCTGTGAGGGACGCAGAGAGGGGTTCCAGGCCCCTCTGACTCTGACTGACTCCACCTCAGAGCAGCGCTGTCCCAGACCCGCGAAGCTGCACGGATGGCGACGGAGCGTGGGGTCGACTCAGGCGTCCCTGCGCCTTCCCTGCCCGCGCGGGGAGCTCCGCTGCTCACCCTCCTCCTGCGCACGGCGGGCGAGCGAGCGAGCGGGCACGGAGGGGCCTCTTTACCCTCCTGAAGCAATTTTATGAGAAAGCACCTGAAGCCTGGTGTTGCCCAGGAGGACCAGGTCAGCGTCTGGTCTGGCGAGGCCTTCGCAGCGCCATGGCAGCCTGCAGGGCGCAGGGACATGCTCCCGCCCTCCCAGCTAGGAACCTTCGCAGGGACCCGGCACCTGCTGGCAGTTGAGGACTCATTTCTGGGCCACTAGTCGGGTTTGCCATGAAACTGAGAAACGACAAAGGAAGCCTGTCGACTTCAGTGACAGTCCTACCCCAGGCCAGCTGTGGAAAGAAAACGTGCTTTGATTTTCATTTTTGTCAAAAGAAAGTTTGATATAAAAATGCATCAGAAATATGCAGTCTCTTCAACTGTAGAAAGGCAAATCAATGTAATTACAGGATTTATTAAAGTAAACCCTTTGGGATCACACTTTTTACTTAAAAACTCCATATCTAATATTAGAGTCTTGTAATATCCTAATGAATAAGTTATATTTTGCTGCCTGCTTGACATATGAGTGTTCAGATTTATTTTTATCTCAGTTCTGTGTCGTTAATAAAAATTAAGTGAACCACATTAAGAAAAAGTACTTGTACACTATGTTCCTATTGTTTTATTTTCTTTGTCAGGGCCTCACTCTGCATTCCTGCCTGGTCCTGAACTGACTCTGCAAACCAGACTAGCCTCAAGATCAGTTCATCTCTGCTGCAGAGTGCTAAGATTAAAGGCCTGCACCACCTGCCTGCCTTCTGTCAATTTCACACATTTATGAATGAAATAAACAGAAACTTGTGGCACACGACCGCACTCTGTACTGAGGACACTGTGGCAGGAGGATCACTGTGAGGTGTTACTGTAGTTTCTTGTCCCGCCAGGTCCCACCTCCACTTCAGCCCCAAACAAAAAATATTAATTATTAAACTGTTGACTGACGACTAGGCTTCTTATTGGCTAGCCCTGTCTTAATTATTAACCTATTTCTGTTAATCTATGTATTGCCACAAGGCTGTGTCTTACCAGTAGTCTGGCATTTGTTACTCCTTTTGCCGCATGGTATCTTCTCTTGGCCCTCTCTGCCTACCTTTCTCAGAATTCTCATCTCTTGGCCCCTCCTATCTTCCTGCCTCCATTGGCCAAACAGTGTTTTATTCATCAACCAATAAGAAACATTTATACAGAAGGACACCCCCTATCAGTGAGGTTTAGGCAAGCCTGGGTTATAGGAGAGACCTTATTTCAAAAGAGCAAATGACAGAGCATATGCAGCCTCTGCCATCCCACCTTTTTGGGCCATTAGTGTCAGCCTTTGTCCTGGGATCCATATGGGACTATGGCACCCTGGCCTTTGCCCCCAAGTCCACAATCAACTTTGATCTCCCTGCCTGGAATCTATGACAGTGCTGAAGCGGCAGCCAGCAGCAGTTGAAATGGGATGAAGAATCCCTGCCCAGCTGCTTTACTGCTATGCTTTGTCGGGAATTTTTATTCTGTGTCCTGCTTGCAGGCCTTCCACTGAGGATTCTTGAAACCCACACTAACACTTAACTGGCATGCTCAATCTGGTTCAGTATATGATTTCTGCTTCAGTAATCTACTTTCCCAGGGCTCCTCGTTTCTGCCTTAATTTGGAAAATAGCAGGTGGAGTCACGTGCTAACCCTGCTTACAGTCATTGACAGCCCCTGGATGCACTAGAGGTGCGTGTGGTATATTGTCACAATCTATAAACAATGCTAAAATGACTGGAAGCAGAATTTTGATGGGTGACTAAAGATGGCTTTCTCTTCCCAGATGACCCTCCTGGGGTCATATATCTTCACATGCCAGCACACTGAATATAAGCTTATGGTTAATTTACACCATCTTACTTGTGAACATGGGAACCAAGATTCAAAATTCTATAGTGACTCTTGCTCTTTTGAGGGTGCATTGAGTGGGTGTGCTTTGACTGCCAAGTTGTCATCATTAGAAATATTAAGTAAAACCATCTTCCCATGGTATTGGCTCACCACCTTGAGAAACCTGCGGTGTCTGCAGAGAAGGCTCAGCAGTGGAGATTGTGTGCTGCTCTTACAGAAGACTGGATTCTGTTTCCCAGCCCATAGGCCAGTTGGCTCACTTTCCTATAACTCCATCAGACCCATGCCTTTTCTGGCCAGGTCCATAGCCAAGTTCCTGGGAAATGGCCCTAAGACACAGTTTGCAGATGCTTAAAAAGGAAAACCCATGATTCATTGCATTCCCTATCTGATTGGTCAGAGGCAAGCATACAACCTGAAATGTGAAGCTCCCTCCCACATATGATCAAATACATCCCTTGCAGGTGGGTCAAACAAGCTTATTTCAGGGAGTGAAAACATGTGGCTTGTTATCTCCCACAAACAATAGCTTCCGGCATTTCAGCAACTATCTGTCCTTCCGCAGAGCGGAGCGCTTGAAGACCAGAGGCAGTTTTGTTTCAAGTAACCTATAAAAATGCAGTCAGCAGGATTTGTTGGCAAATTAAATGTTGGATATAAAAGTAATATAGAAGACAATGAAAACTTTGCAGAGCAAGTAAAAAAATTGAGTGCCATTAACCAAAAAATCTTATATTTTTGTTTGTGAACCTAGCCTTTAATGCTGAGCCATCTCTCCAGCCCAAGAAAAAACTTAAAATGTAACTTTTGCTCTCACAAAGTTTCAAATTGATTGTCTCTTTTTCTTTATTTTGTTACATATGTATGAATAAATTTTCACAAGTGTCAATGTAGCCTGCTAAGTCTGCTTTTGTTGTCTGTGTGTATATGATTTTAGGGTTGACCACTTTGTATTATATAACAACCAAGAAGGGAGCTCACCCATGCTGGAGGATGAATTCCATTCTTGCGGGAGGATTGCTCTCCTTAATGACCATCAGGAGTCTGACCCACAATGACCTAGGCTGCCTTGGACAGGAAACCTTGTCAAGAATGGAGAACTTGGGCTGATGTAATTAATAGCTCAGCAGTTAAGAGCACAGGCTGCTCTCTCTCAGAGGACCTGGGTTTAATGACCACGATGACATGGCTGCTCTCAACTGTGCTGTAACTCCAGTTCTAGGGCATTTGACAATCAGGTCTCCCTGGCCACTGAGCATAAACATGGTACAAAGACCTGTATAGAGTCAAAAAAGATCAATGCAGATGAAATAATCATTTTACAAAAAGAAAAAAGAAAGTAAAGACAACTCACACCATAGAGATTCTTTTTCCAGCTGGACATGGAAGTCCACACCTTTAATCCCAGCACTCCAGAGGCAGAAGAGGAGGATCTTTGTAAATTCAAGGCAGGGAGTCTAATGCCACACAGTGTGATTTGAGAGAAGATGCCCAGGGCACAGTCAGTCCAATAAGTCAATTCCAGGTGCACAATAAAGCTTAGGCTGTGACTACGTAGAAACTCTTTGATAAATCACATGTGACCAAGAGGGTGGTTCCAGAGCTAACAGGCCTAGAATCTAGTGTGGTCTCTGACTGAGATAGCAGAGGTCATCAGGTTAGAGAGCACATGTGACATCTCCCAGATGGGGGATATCCTTCTGTATATATGTTTCTCTTATTGGGTAATGAATAAAACACTGTTTGGCTAGCGACCAGGCAGGAAGGATAGGTGGGGCTATCAGGTGAGGAGAATTCTGGGAAAGGGAGGCAGAAAGATGATGTGCCAGCATTCTCCACTAAGATAAGACCACATGGAAATACATAGATTAATAGCAATGGGTTAATAATTAACACAGAGCTAGCCAATCAATAAGTAGCCCAAGCCATCGGCCAACAGTTTAATAATTAATATAGTGTCTGTTTATTTGGGGTTAATGGCTGTGGGACCAGGCTGGAGAGAAAACCAGCAACATCTCCCCTAAGGATGGGTAATGGTCTAGGGAGGGAAGAATCTGGAATAATCACTCTGGGGAATTTGAGTGAGGTCTGCCTCTGTGCAGTAAAGTCACCAGGTCACTAACAACCTGCACTCTCAGCTCTCTGGATGGTACCTAGTTATTTGATTTGTCTCCTCCATTGAGAAGACACCGCTGAGTGTTAACATTCCTGGTTCTCTTGGTGCTTTTCTGAGTATAAGGCCTTCATACCTGTAGGGAGTCACCCTAGCCCCGCCCAATAGTCCTGGGGCAGGTACCAGGTGGACCTGGGGACTCGCCCATAAGGGCGGGGTGAAGGAAAGCCGGGATGACGTAAAGGGGGCTTCTTAAGGGACTGCACGTGGGGACGGGGCTCTCTCTTTGTTCTGGCCACGCTGGCTGGGTTCTTAACCTAGCTCTGGCCTGTGTTTCACCCGGCTGTGCTTGGAAATAAAGAGACCATAATCCAATATCTGGCGCCCAACGTGGGGCTCGAACCCACGACCCTGAGATTAAGAGTCTCAAAAATGGAACAGTTTTTCAAATATTATAACATTAAGCATGTCACAGG